AACCTAGTGGGGCAGCTTATAAGCATAGGTTGCCAAAGAACCTAATAGGTTTTCAAGTTGTTTTCATGTATATATGCTTAGACTTATATTTTGATCCTATTTAAATGATTGATTTTGCTTTGTAATGGCCCTATGATGGTTTGTCATATGATGGGCACCTATTTTGTCTTAGATTGCATCAAACCATTCGGTACTCTAAATGATCTTAGATTTGAGTTTTGGGGACAAAACTCCTTTTTAGGAGGGGTGAATGTAATATCCCAAATATTTCTAAGACCTTAGAATTTAAATTAGGGATTTATGTGGGAGAAACTATCTCTGCAAGGCCTTATGGTCACAAATTTTAAACTTAAGGGGGTTGAGTTTAAAAAAAAAAGGGGGGGGGGTGTAGGTTTCAGGAGTATAAACTCTCGATTTCCCCCATTCTTCTTTTTTTCTTCTTGTTTTGAAACCCTAACTCATCCCCCACCATCCTCAGTTCGTCACCACCATCCTCCATCCTTCAACTCTCTGTCACCAATCCTGCTCCTCCAAATCCTCTCACCCACATCTCATAAATCCCTTAAGTAGCAGCTCAATGCTCCCCATTCCACCGCAGTCGCGTGATGCCTTCAACAGCCTTGGGTTTCCTTTTTTGGCAAGCAAATGCTAGCCCCCCCCCCTCAAGTTTTGGCTATCTCTGCCTTTTGGGCTTCCATTTTAGGAGGAATCGTCTCTCTCACTCACAATTTCTGGTAAAATTGAGCATGAAACCAATCTTGTTCTTTCTCTAATTTTGGTAGATTTAGTTGAATATTGACCATTTAAATTTGGGGAAATAGCATAGGATTTATGGGTATTTTGTTTCTTATCTTTTTGAAAGATTGTGACACTGTTTGTCTAGTGTTTAGATGTTGTTCTGCTTAGATTCCCCTGCTGTTTTTGCCATGAAATTTTACCATTCATGCAGAAAAATTATGCTGTTTTTGCTGGTGCATTTTCTGTAACTTGTTTTGCTGGTGCATTTTCTGCAACCTGTTTTTCTACTGTACTTTTTTGCAATCTATTTTTCTACTACATTTTTCTACAATTTGTTTTGTTGCATTTTTCGTAACCTGTTTTGCTACTACATTTTTCTACAATCTTGACTGCTTTTGCTTCTTCATTTTTGCTACATTTGCCCAGTTGTTTTCTGCACTATTTTTAAACCAAAAAATTTTGTATTTTCCCTAGAAAAATTCTGCATTTTGCTACATTTTTCCTTGTTGTTTTTGGCATTGTTTTTCCCCAGAATTTTTCTGCCATTTTCCAAGTTTTGCTACTCCTTGCCGAAAATGTTTGGTAGGTCAACTGTCATCTTTGGAAATTTATATATGACTATGCGTGAGTTATATATATATATATACTAGTAAGGTTTAGATGGGTAGAATGGCAAGAAGAGATAGGGAGAAATTGTTCCTTTGGAATAGAACTTGGTGCTAAAATTAAAGATCAATTTTAGTTGAATGAGGCATGTTGTGACCCTGTTGTTCTTGATTATGAAATAGGTTCTAAGTCACCACCATCTCCTTGAAACCTTAAATACTTGCTGTTGTAAGCCTACAAGAAGAGGTAAGTAAAAGTATGGTAATGCCTTTGGATTTGAGGTAAAGGTTTTTGAAAGCATATTTCAGATGGTTTTTGAAATGGTGGCGGAACTAAACTTGTTTTACACAAACACAAGCATGATTGGTTTGAAATGAAATTATTATTATTTTCATTGAGTTGAGCATGCCTACTTAGAGCTTTCTTAACTGCCCTGATGATCTGAAAATTATTTGTAAATTATGATTTTCCTATTGAATCCTGCCTGGTTTTGTCTCCAATATGGTCATGTTTTACTGTGCCCGCTAGTGGGAGGTTTATAAACGCTAGCACATGTCGACATGTATTCCTAGGAATCGGTTCATCCAATATTTCTGCCAGTGGGATAATACACTGGTTACTACTGTGCCCACCAGTAGGAGGTTTATAAACGTTGTCCATGACCTATAGAGGAGACGTCTATTTCATTATCATACTTGTACATTTTTTTTAATGATACTTGATTACACTTATTGGCATGCTATAACTTTAATTAAGGGCACTGCATATTTTTACTTACTGAGTTATCTCATAGAGTTTTTCCTCGTCCACCATTTCAAGTACTAAAACCAAAGACGTGGGAAAACTGAGGGGAGTGACGAGCTAGAAGGCTAGCCATTAGTGTTTCAGACTTAGATTATCTTGGAGTTAGACTAGTCACATATATTTGACTTAACTTATTTGTAATTGGGTTTGTAGAATAAATCCCAATTTCAGATTTTTTGCAAAATTGTTCCATGGATTGTAGTTATAAATTTACTAAGTTTTAAGTCTTGTGCATTTGTGGGATCCTCTCACAAGTGTACGGCCCTCTCACAAGTGTACGGCCCTCTCACAAGTGTACGACGTCTGTTTCGCCCTTGGATTTGGGTTTTGGTGCGTGACAAATAGAGTAAGTGTTAAACTTTAAAACATAGAGAATAACCTCCAACTTTATTATTATCAAGGGATTTTTTAAAATTAACATTGAGTTTTTATACCATTCAATTATTGTTGCTAATATCTTTAATGTTTTGAATAGTAGAGAATTCATGATGAATTTTGTTCTAACTCAACATTGCAACATGTCAATAGTGATAGCCATATGTGTACTAACCAACTATTTAAGATGGGAATATCACCATTTTTAACTTTGGTTATTTTTAATAAATGTTCATTTCTTGTGGTTGCATTTTATCGTACTTATGTATTAGGAGTTCACTTTCTAAAAGGTTAAATACCCTTTTTGGTCCCTCTATTATAGGAAAAAGCCCATTTTTGGTCCCTGTACCGAAAAAATCCCTTTTTAGTCCTTACTGTTCATAAATTCGGTCCCTTTTCGGTCATTCAGTTAATTTTTGCTCACGTGGCACGTTAACTTAACTGAAACAGCTAATGTGGATATGCCAACAATTAAAAGATCCTTACGTGGACTCCAGGTCATCCTCAAAGTAGACTCCACATCACCCTCCACGTGGGCTCCACTTCCTCCGGTCTTTTTTTTTTTTTCTTTTTTTCCTTTTACCCCCCCCCAAGCGAACCCGGACTACTCAGAAGCTTGGGTTCCCGAGGAACCCAGGAGCCTGGGTTCTGCGCGAACCCGCGACCTAGGTTCATCGTGAACCCACGAGCTGGGTTCCTCGTGAACCCAGGCTCCTGGGTAGCCTGCGACGAGCCCAGGTCACGGGTTCGCGAGGAACCCAAGAGCTTGGGTTCGCGAGGAACCTAGGAGCTTGGGTTCGTCGCAGGCTACCTAGGAGCTTGGGTTCGCGAGGAACCCAGCTCGCGAGTTCGTGAGGAACCCAACTCGCGGGTTCGTGAGGAACCCAGCTTACGGGTTCACGATGAACCCAGGCACCTGGGTTCCTTACAAACCCGCGAGCTGGGTTCGTGGCAGGCTACCCAGGAGCTTGGGTTCGTCGCAGCTCTCGATAAGTACGACTTCGATTCTGAGTTCGGAACCAGGGTGAGCTTTCTATTTCATTTAGTCAATTTATCGATTGATGGTATTTGCTTGGATTGAAGGTAAATTCTGAATTATGCAAATTGGGTGCTAATTTTAATGATGATTTTAGGCAATGCTTCATGTCTATGGTTAGAAATTGAGTTGTTGAGGTGAAAGATATTTTCTTTTGAGTTGGATATGTGTCTTTTGTTCCAATTCTTTTTAAAATTTCAGGATGCATTCCATGGTATATAGTAATATATGAAGCATGCGATGAACCCAGGCTCGTGGGTAGCTTACGACGAACCCAGCTTGCGGGTTCATGAAGAACCCAGGCTCCTGGGTAGCTTGGGTTCACCTGGGGGGTAAAAGGAAAAAAAGAAAAAAAAAATGGCCAGAGGAAGTGGAGTCCACGTGGAGGGTGACGTGGAGTCCACGTGGAAGGTGACGTTGAGTCTACGTGGAGGATGACATGGAGTCCACGTAAGCATCTTTTACATGTTGGCATATCCACATCAGCTGTTCCAATTAAGTTAACAGCCAAAATTAACAGAAGGACCAAAAAGGGGCCGGATTTATGAACAGTAAGGACTAAAAAAGGGATTTTTTCGGTACAGGGACCAAAAAGGGTATTTAACCTTTCTAAAACAACCCTAATGAACTCTCTTTTTTTTTGTACTAATATAATTTTATCATTTTTTCTCAAAAAGAGGAAAAAAAAAGTAATAACTTCTTCTTTTTTAAGATATTAGTATTTCTCATTTCCATTTCAAATGTTTAATTAATACTATATTAGGGTTGAGGGGAAAGGAAAAATTTTTGACCAATCAAATTGCAACATTTTAAAAAACATTACAATTTGATTGATAAAAAAATCTTCTCTCCTCTTCTAAAACAACCTGGGTCGAAATCTGCAACTAATCTAACAACTCTTTAAAGCAAAATTCATGGGCTCTAAAAAGTTCAAATTTAAGTTATTAATAGTGGTTAGTCTTCATAATTATATACTAAGTTTACTCACAAGTCTTCATTGATATTGGATTCGGGGTGTTACAACTATATTTCTCTCAACCCAAACATATTATAATTTTTTTCTTTATTTTTGATATTATAGAAATGCTTTTATTTGTATAAAAGGAAAGTAGTATTTAAATTAATGTGCGAAAATAAATATAAGTATAAATGAAAATTTTTTATAATTTTTTAACATTAATATGTAATCCCAACTAGCAATTTATAAGTTATTATGCAGAATAAACAAGAGTAATATAGTGCAGAAAAATAAAAAGAAAGGGAAGAGAATATCAAGCCGTGATTTATAGTGGTTCCTCCAACCCGGAGTACGTCCACTCCCCAAGCCTCCTTGCTCGA